GTAATTAGCACATAATGTTCAAACATTTAACTATTATTGCAAAAAAACATTCATATTTTTTTTTTTTTTTGACATTTTCACCCTTAATTACACATTTGATTGCGCAAACCATCATTTCAATCAATTTTCATCCAATTTCTCATAGAGTGTTGTGAAATAATGAATATGCTCTCCTATTTTAAAAAAAAATTTAGTTTTTTTTAATTTATATTTTTTTAAATAATTTATTTGGGACTCGTTTGCACTTTTTAATCGTTTTATAATTTTATTAATTTTTTAATAAATTTAATTAGAACTCATTTGCACTTTAAAAAAATTTAATTTCTAATTTTTTAATTTAAAAAAAACTAATTTCTATTTTTTTTTAACAATTTATTTGGGACTCATTTATACCTTTTAATAAATTTGGGAATATGATTGCAATTAATTTTTTAGTTTTTTCATTTAAACATGATGATATATTCATCATTTCACAGCTCTTTATTGAGAAATTGAATGAAAATATATAAAAATGATGGTTTGCGCAATCAAATGTGTAATTAAAAGTAAAAGTATTAAAAAAGAAAGATATGAACCTTTTCACAATAATAGTGAAAAGTATGGACATTATGTGCTAATTACCCTTTGATTAATTTATTTATGACTCATCTGCTCTTTTTTAAAAAATTGGGACTATGATTGCAATTAAAAATTTCTTTTTCTTTTATTTTATTTAAAGAGAATGATATATTCGTCATTTCACAATTTTAAATTGAGAAAATGGATAAAAATGACATTTTGTACAATGAAGTGTGGAAATAAGGATAAAAATGTCAAAAAATGAAAGATAAAGACGTTTTGCAAAATAGTGGTGAAAGAAGTGGACGTTATGTGGTAATTATCCTAATCTTTTCAATATTATCAATTCCAATACATCTAACATGTCAACATAATATATAATGTGACAAAGTAATTCTGTAAGCATAAAATTTCTAAGTCATAAAGGAAGTGACCATACACCATCTCATACTTATATAAGAGAGAATTATGAGGCAAAATAATTAAGAGCATATTTGGTCATCAAGCTAAAAATTAGGTAAAAGTTACTCTTTCAAATCCCTGTATGGTTTTCTAAAAAAAATAAATTTTTAGTAAATTTTAATAATAGTTATGGATCTCATAAAATGTGGTTAGAATTAATTGTTAATTTTGACTTTGATTTTTATCAACTTTTTAGCTAAACCAAATCAGGGCCAAGATTAGTTATTTTTCTCTTACTAAGTAAAAAAAGTTACTTAACTCTTATCTTAACATCATTAGAGTTTAATTGCTGGTGGAGGTGACACAACTACGATCATGCTAGTATGGACAGTAGCCCTGTTACTAAACAACCGCCATGTATTGAAAAAGGCTCATGAAGAATTGGACATTCATGTTGGAAAGGAGAGGCGAGTAAAAGAATCAGATATCAACAACCTGGTTTATCTCCAATCCATTGTCAAAGAGACTTTACGATTATACCCCGCAGCTTTCTTGGGTTCCTCAAGAGAATTCTCGGATGACTGCAAAATAGCAGGTTACCACATTGCAAAAGGTACGCATAACGAATTTTACTTTTCTAGTTTAAAATTACGAGAATTAAAGATTATTATTTTTATATTTTATAGTTAACATGCTCACACAATATGGTGGCTTGTTTGAAAATGCTAAATTTGAAATCTAATTGCCTTTTCTGAACTCTAGACACATTGAAGTTCTTGTTAATTTGATTTTTTTTTTTATGGGTGTCATTCTTGAAAACCAACTTTTCAAGAGAAGTATTTTAGCTAAGTCGTTATACATCAAGTATTAAATTTATATTTGACAGGTACGAAGTTAATAATTAATATGTGGAAATTACATAGAGACCCTCGAGTATGGTTCGAGCCGTTGGAGTTTAAACCAGAGAGATTCCTCACTACTCATAAAGATTTCGACATGAAGGGTCATAATTTCGAATTGATCCCATTTGGAGCTGGTAGAAGAATTTGTGCTGGCACAACTTTTGGCCTTCAGATGTTGCATTTAGTCTTGGCTAATTTGCTGCATGCATTTGAACTTTCAACTCCTTTTGATGAAAAAGTTGATATGAGTGCGAGTTCTGGACTAACTAATATGAAATCTACACCTCTGGATGTTCTTCTTTCCCCAAGATTATCTCCAAGTCTATACTAAGTTGGAAAGACGACGATGATAATGTATTTCATCAATTTTAGTAATATATGAGTGTGTGAAGATGAAATTGAATAAGGTTCAATGAATGTGCATAGCCCACATTAATTATCTTTAATTGGTCTGTGAATGAGAATGATGAATCTAATTAATAGCAATGATCAATTATTCCATTGAGAGTTTAAAAGTCTATATTTCATTTGAGAGGTGCCAACATTCTCTTGAAAAACTCTATATCTTGTGGTGTATTCCATTGAGTAGTGGTTTTATCTAGTTATATATCCCTTGGTAGATTTCTATGGTCATGATAAATATTGTATCCATATGATGCTTGGATGGTGAGCTATTCTTTCTATTATTCACTTATTTTCTTCAATCTTCTATCCAACTTGATATCAATTATGAAAGTGATTAAAGTACAAGTCCTCTTGGATGTCTATTCTCAAATAATGTCTCCTTTAAACTTTACTGGAAAACCCTGTGAGAAAATCATTGTCAAATAAAAAGAATATTATGTCATTCTTCTAAATACGAAAAGAAAATCGTCCCATTAAAATCTTGTCATGAAAATTCAAGGAATAATATATATCTTGATATTAAAAAAAAAAGGTAAAACACTTATTTGTTTCCACTCATAATGTCATCACATATGATCTTTAAACCCATGCAGTCTAATATTGCATTCCAACATTTATGTTGGCGAGAAATAATGACACTCTTAATCCCATTGGTTGGATCACTCAAATGATAATGATTGAATGTCATAAACGGTTTATCACTCCCTCAATGGACACCAGTTCATCTCTAGATGAGATAGTTGAAACTCAATCTTAAAAAATGATAAAAAATAGGGTCATGTATACGAATCACAAAAACTTCATATTGATGAAGATATTGTTGGCAGCAACTACTACTCTCTTAAGTTCATGGGTTGGTTTGCTCAAATTATGGTGATAGAATACCACAAAGAGGTTTAGGTTGCTGTCACTGAACACTAATTAACTTTCAGATGATGAAATCCGATCCTTTCAAATTCAAATGTTGTAAAAGCCATTACATTTGCATCTTATTTTCTTCAATAAATTCACGTTCCTAAATTATCACATTTTCATGTTCGTGTGTGATAAACATATGAACTTATAGAGAAAATGATGTCTTTTTATATGAATAATACTATTTAACATTTGTGACTTTTATATTAACTAGTTTGATGTTAATCACCTCTAATACTAAATAACATTACTCCTTTTAAATTAATCAGAATGAAATTGGTTGTAAACAAATTGGAATACATAACGTGACATGAAAAATGAGATGTCATTTTAAAAAATAGAACATGAATGCCTTGTAAAAATGTATATTGGAAACAAATATAATTCGTGATTTTAATATTTAGATTGTTCAAAATTTAATTTTTTTTAAAAAAATAATATAATATTGACCGAGAAAATTCATGATTACTTGCCGATGTTGGTAATAACTTGTAAAAAATCTTAATATAAAGCACAAAACATTAAGGGTGCGATTGGATCGTAGTTTTCAAGCTATTTTCAGTTTATAATTTTGCAACACACTAANTTGTAAAAAATCTTAATATAATGCACAAAACATTAAGGGTGCGTTTGGATCGTAGTTTTCAAGCTATTTTCAGTTTTTAATTTTGCAACACACTAAAATATGTTTGGTCTGGAATTTTTGAAAATGTATTTTCGAAAAAAATGATAAATTATAACATAAAACTCAAAACACGTTGTTATTTAAATTAAAACATAGAAAACAAGCGTTTAAATAAAATTTTAAAAATTAAAGACTTTAAAAAATATAAATATGAATATAAAATTCCATAAAAAAATTTATAAATTTATAAAATCAAGTTAAATAAATTCAAAAATTTAAAATAAATTCATAATAATTTCTAAAAAAAAATAAAAATAAAAATAGTTCAATCTGTTAATGATTATTTACATAAGTAAAAATAAAAGTCATGACAAACGAGTCCTAAAAATGATCATTCCTCTTTAGTGAATGAGGGAAAGTATATTCGAACATAAGTAAATTCATGCTTTTCCTTTTCTTTTTTTTCCCCTATTAGATGCATTCATTTAATTGTTAATTAAGTCTATGTTTTTTCAGCAAGTGAAATATTGGAAAAAAAAAAAGATACAATATTAAACCCTTGTTTGGTATGGATTAAAATTTTAATTTTAATCCAAGTCAAGTAAAAAATAATTAATTTTAATCACATATTTCATGCCATCCATAATTTTTCAATTATACATACATACATACATACATACATACATACATAAAAGTTGTTTTAAAGATGAATTTTGCATTTATTCTGATATCAATTATTATAATTACATCTAGTAAAACTAGTCTTGTAAATCGACTCATAAAGAGAGAATATAGAAATACTTATTTAGTCAAGAGATATATTTGAACTATGTATGTAGTTAAATAAATAAATAAATAATTGAATTCGTTACGCCTCATCATTTGCGAGCAGTAAAAGCTAATGTGGATAAGATTAACCACTATTTAATTAATTACAAGCAATCCATTGGGACTTGAAATTTATGGTGAAACCCTACGCAAAAGCAAATTCATGGTGAAAAACTAAAAAATAATAAAATTAGCTCAGTCCAAAAATTAATTCCCCAGCCCAAAAACAAATTCTTGGTGAAAAATTAAAAAGAATAAAATTTGCTCAGCCCACAAATTAATTTTAGCCCCACTAGCTTCATTTCTAACCCCAAGTTCAATATTTAATAATTCAAATTTAGTTTAAAACTCTGCAACAATCACATATTTATTTTATTCATATTCATAATATACAAAGAACTCGTTACCAAATTAAATATTTTATTTCACAGTCATATATATAATTAAGTTTAAAAAGTTTGATTATTATCAAATTAGTTTATTATAAAATAAATAATTTTTATTGAGTAAAGATAAATAACTTGTTTGAACAATTTAAAATCTCAAATGTTTGACTAAGCTTAAAAGTAATTGAACTTCACTTAATATATTTTTTCATATATTACTTATATATAATTGTGAGTTAAAAATTTATTTATTTCGACTATAAAATGGATGTTATTATCAAAATAAGCAACATGCTATACATTTAATTTTATTGATTAAAATATATTTGTTAGAACTTTGTTACGAGTGTTCAAAAATATATTATGACCAATGTTTTAAACTTATAGAAAATAATATATANTTGTTATCAAAATAAGTAATATGCTATATATTTAATTTTATTAGTTTAAAAATATATTTGTTAGAGCATTGTTACGAGTGTTCAAAAATATATTATGATCAATGTTTTAAAAATCGACCCAGAAAAGGTTAATGGTCAAAAGGTTCAACCGATGTCGAACCTGGATCGAACCGAATGCAATAAATACATACAAAAATAATAAAATACAATAAAAACAGTAATTTTTTTTAAAAAAAATTCATATTAATAATTCAAAGTAAATCTATATTTGTTAATTAGATTCATTATCCTACAATTAGTATCGATACTTCAAAAATTAAAACTAAAGATGTTAAAATAGTTTAAACTTATAGAAAATGATATCAACATTAATATATTAATAATCAAGTGCGATTTGAGTTAAATTTGAAAATTAAATAAATGAAATGATGAAGGTGAATATTACAATTTAATTAGTTGGGATTCAAAATCAAATTAGTCAANTGATGGGCATTTTAACATTTTTTTATGCTACTGTCACACATTAGAAGTTTATGAAACCATTAAAGAGGAGCATATATAAAATGTACTATCTCCCACATTGAAAGTTTATAAAATCATTTAAGAGAAGTGAATCTATAAAATGAGCATGATATCCAATATTTCTCTATGGGCCTTTGAATTGTAATTTATGATGTCTATGAAGTTAAAATTTTTTAAACTAAAAAATAAATAAATTGGGAAAACCACAAAACCGTGACAAGTTCATCGGGTTAAGGTTGAACTACCCGGTTCAGTGTGTTTTGAGCGATTTTGTCATAATCAATTAACCGGGCATGATTTGGCCTAATTTTGGGTCCGATTCCCGATTTTACCGGTCGAATCAATAGGGCCGGTTGATTTTTAAAACATTGATTATGACCCACATTATTATAAGTGTCATGAATTTTACGTTTTAAACTAAATCTCGTGCGATTTAAAACATCTTTTATGGTATAAGTTCATTGAAAAAAAATTAAATTTCAGCTCAGCATAATGTATCTTTCTGGCTCTGCCCCTGATATTACGCATACGTCTTTTTTAAATCATTCTTGGTTCTCAGGACTTGATTCATTTTTTCCTTGAACCAATCTCGATTTTCATAAATGTTTAGAAAATTTCAGCATTTGAACAAATTTTCATTGAGACGGTCCCACCTCATACTTACATAGGTAACCTCCTATTAAGAGTATTATGTCATATTCCACTTGATTTAATCAAGATATAGGAATAATTAAAAGCATAAATTAACCTTTAACATTCTGTAGAAAGCATATAGCAATGAGTTAAGAAACATTTTTCAAAGTGTTTCATTATATTTTCATAACTTAGTTGTTCCATTGAATCAAGATTTTGGGTCTCTGGTCAATAAAGTAGGGATACCATTACAAAGACTCTTATATAGTATGCTTTAATCAGATTCCTTTCGATAGGCAACATACTTGATTTTTCAGTAAACATTTCATAAGTGGATCCGTGATATTCTCCTTTGATTTCACATAATCTTTGGAGACGATAGGAGATCAGTTGCTTAATGGTATGGTGTCTACGACATATATGCCTAGAGCCAATTAATTATCACAATGTATACTTATTTTAGGTACCCGCTTAGGCCAATGTAGAATATCTTTCAAGAAACTATGAAGCCATCATATTTATTCTCTGGGGTTATCCAAAATAATAAAATCTGATTCAATAATTGATCGAGTTATATGAGTTTCCTTTGTCGACTTCCATGATACAAAAAGTACAC